ACATGCTTAGATTTTAAATGGAAAAAATTAAAAGAAAGATCCAAGAAGCGTGTTTTGAGCTTTTCGGTTGGTGAAATTTGTAGATAAAACAAATTTTCTGTTTTAAAAAAGCATTCATTTATACAGCATCGTAAATACAGATATAGTCCAGGTAACTGATTGTGACATTGTAAGCTGACTGCTACAATAAGTACGTAGCTAGCTATAGTATATCCACTGATCTATATAGAATGACAGCAAGTATTGTCAGTATACTACCACAAAGGATGAACCACATCCAACGGGAGTAACTGTCAATGCAAGAGGAAGCTGTCTAAAAAGGATGTCCATGTAATAAACCTGATTGAATCCAAAAAAACATAAAACCACAGCTGTCCAACTAACTGCAGAACTAAATGCGCGCCTTAGCTCTCCTGTTTCCACCAAAACTGCTCATCGTGAGCTCCAAAAAGTCAATATTTATGGTCCGGCTGCCATTGCCAAACCTTTGGTCACTTGTGCCAATGCCAAATGGACTGTGGTCAATTTGAAACATGAACTGTTCTCTGATGAGTCTACCTTCACCTTCACTTCACGAGTTACAGCGTGAAGAAGCCTCATAGAGTCTTAACACCCGAATGGATTCGTGCCTAGAGTGGGTGGATCAGTGATAGTTTGGGCTCCAATATTATGCCATTCCCTACTGAGCTTGATGGGAACATCATTACCAAGGACTACTGAGCCATTTTGGAGGACCATATCTAATGGTTCAAACACCATATCCTGAAGGGAGTGCTGTGTATCAGCATGATAATGCACAAATACACACAGCAAGACTTGTGACAGACTGGTTTAATGAACATGAAAGTGAATCTCCCATGGCCTGCACAGTCACCAGATTTCAATATTTTTGAGCCACTTTGGGGAATTTTGGAGGAGCAAGTCAGAAAACATTTTCCTCTAACAGCATCACATAGCCACTAGCCACTGTTCTGGAATAAAAATGGCTCAATACCCTCTGGCCACTGTGAAGGACTTGTATCTGTCATTCCTAAGATGAATTGATGCAGCGTTGACCTCAAAAGGACATGCTTGCCAATCATCCCCTTCCCCAATTTCTCTCCTACTCTTATCCTGGCGGTGCGGCTAAATTTCTTTAGATATATGTGTGGCCGCAATGGTGCCTGCAGCTGTATGGATATACGCACGGAGCGTCCCATGAGTGCTCAGACTAACCTGAGAAACGTTTTCAGTTTCACGAGTTTAATTTGAACTTTGCTGCATGGCTGAGTGGATAACAGAACTCAAGCTTAAAAGAGTTTAGTTTACTCCCGGTCCTGGACACTATTATTAAACAGCGTTGAGACATCTTGTGAGAAGCTGTTCAATTCGACTCACCTCTCTGTTACAAATCACAAATCACTTGATGATTAACTAGTTTTAAACAGCCTCAACATTCCCAACAAGAAACAAGAAACATTGTGCCATGAACGAAGTTAGAAGACTACAAATCCCCTAATCGCCACCCTTACAAACATTGACCATGAATGCAGCCCATTCTCATCCCAAGGCGTCATATACGACGCTTTTGCCAAAGTGTAATGAGATGCAGATATTTATGGTGTAGAAGGCGCCTCCTAGTGGTCTAAACCTAACCCTACCCCAGTCCTAAACCTACCATAACCGAAGCGTCTCATTTGGCGCTAAAGGGCTCCATGTGCGTTGGATGTCTATGCTTTGGCAAAAGTGTCGTATATCACGCCTTGGGATGAGAATTGGAATGTACTGTAGTAATTTACCGTGGTTTGGGCAGAAATGTGGAATATTTATATTGAATACTATGTTATAGTAATTCATATTGCATTAGATTTATTAGGTTGGTAGTGTGTGTATAGTTTTTACCTGTATTTAGGCATTTCTTTATACAGTGGTAGTGAGTGAGTAGCCATGCATGGTTTTACCTGTGGTTACCAAGTCTCACTGTCAGAATTTTTTATTTAATCCTATAATAATTATAAACAAAATAATTCTTACCAATAGCTATGAGCTTGTATAATGTATATATTTGTACACATCTGTAAATAAGTTATTAATTACGGTCTTAAAAATCTGCATATTGTTGGGTACCACATTTCCAAGTAAATACAATACTTTTTTTAGGTTTACTTTAGCTTATTTACTGTCATGTTTCAACAATTAATGCTTAATGTTTCAATAAATCAGCTAAACCCCCGGCCCTCCTCAACTTTTAGATTTATGAAGCTAATTGATTAGCCCTGCCATACACCATATACTCATAAATTATTGTGGTCTAAAACAATGTCAGGTTTGGGTTTTATTGTCCATGCGACAAATTTATTTTGTTATTTATTTTTTTTCTTACACAAAAAACACAAGCAATTGGGTCACTCGCAGCATCACATATAAGCTTGGCAAAACTGCACCTGTTTTATAAACACAGCGACACATTGTGATTGTGTTCATAATATATTTGTTTCACATAAAACATTATGTGACGTGTATTCCTTATGTGTGCCTCACATGGAAGTATTACACACATACCCCCCAAATGAATTGATTAATTGCATAAGTTCATTAATTGATATTGAACAAATTATAAATGACTACTGCCTGATTTTCCACATGCACACGTAATTCATCCCTCTTCATCACACACACAAACTGAGCACTGCCACAGCTCTCACAACCTTTCACGCTCTTCAGAAATTACAAACCGTATATGCAGTGGTTTTGTCTGTGTGTGTATGTGGTTTTTTTTTTACTGTCAGACCTCTTGCACAGCAGTTTGCATTGATTATTGAGCTCGACCCCCATGCCAGACCAACAGTTTCTCTATTTTTGGAATGATCTGTCTGCTCCGTCAAACGGACACGCATGCATTCATAAAGACACTGTTATATGTCATACTGCCCTTCCACCTGATTGCACACGAACATGCACAGACATTCACCCTTGCCAATAACAGTCTGATAGGTTATTTTACGTGACCTTTATTGTGTAATGTGAGCACACCCAAACACTTGCATGCAGTCGCACACCCTTTCCCAGCCGAATCGATGTTAAAAGCTTTGTGCCGCTGGGATGACCGGTCAACAGCTGGAGAGGTCATTCTGCAAGGTCGCCAGACTCATTACTTAACGAAAACATGTTTACATCATCTGTGAAGATCTTACAGATAGGTTACAAAAATCTGCAACCATAGAAAATCTGAGATTTAAAATCTAACTTAAAGTCATCATGAAATCAAAATTAGGCAAGGCAAGTTTATTTACATAGCACATTTCATACACTATGGTTATTCAAAGTACACTTTGAAAAATAATTCCTCTTCAAAAAAATGTACAGTATGTTAGCCTTACTGTTGTAAGCTAGTGTTCTCCAAAACAATGATACAAATCGTATTTAGAAGAAATAAGCATTCAAAACATAGTCTCTCACTTTCGCCAGTATGGATCAATGATTTTGATGACATCACGCTGCACTTCAGCTTCTCATCAGATTTTCTGTCCAATGAAATGCTCTCAAGAATCTGAAGTGTCCCACCCCCCACACTATAAATAGACCCTATAGTTGCAATCAGTGCACTTGTTCACACATTTACCATTTTCTAAATGGTGAATAGCACATAGTGCACTTTATAAGGGTTAGGGAAATATTCAGACAGTGTAAAAATACTTTCCATTGGGATTAATTGAAGTCTGTTTTCATCTTAGTGTCACGCAAACCGCCACAGCGTGCACAAAATCTGCTCCGGTCCAGAGACACGATAACACAGAGCTGATCATATGAAAAACTTGGCATTGTTCCTAATTCTTATTTGAATTTTGGACTCCATATATATCCCAGAAATGTCTAATGGGATCACGACACAATGGTTTGAGACCGAACACTGCAAGTAAAAGTGAAATGAAAATCAAATCGTTTCGAATTAAACTTTGCTTAGGTTAAGCATAGCACATCATTTTATACATAATTTAAGTATTTCTGTCTCTCATAGCCATACTTTTGTCTCTTTGTAAGTCAGTTTGCAGCTTATTATTAACTTAGACAGGAAGTTTGAAATAAATTATACCTCAATAATAGACTGCATGAACAAAAAACATTTGGATGTGTATTATGAAATTCTGCTCATGGATATCCTTTTTCCTTGCTGTACACAAACATTCAAAAGTTTGAGATCAGTAAAATTTATTTAAAAATTTAATTTAGCAAGGATGCATTAAATTAATTAAATGGGACAATGAAGACATAATGCAAAAAAGTTTTCAATTTCAAATACTGTTCTTTTGAACTTTTGATTAATTCAAGAATCCTGAAAGTTTCCAAAAAAAACATGAAGCAGCACAATTGTTTTCAACATCGATAATAATATGAAATGTTTCTTGAGTATCAAATCAGCACTAATGAGAATGATTTCAAGAGGAGCATAGTCGTGTAGCTCAAGCAAATCTCTAAATATCTTTCAAAGGCATGATTTTCTTCTAAAATTATCATTTTTTATCAAGCTTGTATATTTAAGTTCAGTAATTTCACTTAAATGGCAATGAAGATTACCTAATAATTGTCATTTAAGTGGAATTACTGAACATAAATATACAAGCTTGATAAAAATGGTCATTTTAGAAGAAAATTTCAAATGGCATTTAGAGGCTTTTGCATCTGAACTCTTCATTTAATAAAAAATTATTGTTTTCAACAAACAAACAAAATTTTGTTTTCCCAGGAGAATTTCAAACATTTGCACCTTGACTCCCGGAGCAGTCAGACAATCTGATTAAACTTGTAATTTTTCTCTTCTTTTTTCTTTTGTTCAGTTTCTTTGCACTTATGCCTGTGAGATCGACATAGAGACAGATTTTGTTTTTAGCCTCCTTACCTCGCTGTTCTCACTGACACATATATATGTGTGTGTCTGTGTATGCATGTGTGTGTGTGTGTGTGCTCATCCACATGTGCAAGCGTGTATTTCCTTACCCTTGTCTCTGTCTGTGATATTGTAGAGCTGGGGACTTATGGCAAGCTAAAATATTATCACTCAATGACTGAGGAAGGTAAGAATCTTTCTGTCAACCCTATTTTTTCCTCTCTTTCTGCTTCGCCATGATGCTATTTGTTCATATGAGTGTGAGAGAGAGTTTTCTTTTCCATTTTTTACTTTCATGACACTGTAGCCGAGATTTCACTAACATAAGTGCAAATCGTGGTTTCCATTCTCAAAGGAATAGTTCACTTTGAAAGTAAGTTTTGATACTGTATATTTTAGCTTACCTCAAGGGCATCCAAGTACCTCAAGTCTTTGTTTCCACAGTATTTTCAATTTTGATATTTTTAGGTCAAACCGTTCTTGTCTGTCAGTCATATAATGGAAGTTTATGGGGTCTACCCTGGGTTCATCTCAAAGAGCATGCACAGAAAAGACCAAATTACACATTATTTAATGACTCATAAATGTAAGTACACATTGATGGCCTAAGACACGAAATGAGTGGTTTGTGTGAGAAAACCGTCACCGACCTTGCTCTACGAGCGACGAAGGTGACCGCATGCTCCCTGAGTCAGGTGATGTCCACATGCGTGGTCAGACATTTCTGGCTTAACCTGGTTGATGTGCGCGAGGCTGAGTGAACCAGTTTCCTCAACTTCCCCATATCCCAGGCTGGCCTCTTCGGCGGAGCGGTCGTGAACTCTGCCCAACAGTTCTCGGCCGCCCAGAAGTGGACTGTGGCTTTTTTGTCTGACCCTGCTGCTTTCTGCTGCCAAACAGCCGCCGGCTCAGACGCCTCAGTCCGCTTGCCGCTGAATGCACCCTCCTGCGACTTCCGCCCCCTCCTGCCCGGCCCCAGCAGCACCGGGCCGTGTCGTGGAGGTGGTCACAGGGTGGCGCCCCTGCCCATACCAGCCTCGCAGCTGTACGCCAGGCTATGCGGCGCTCCCGTTACGGGCAGCTCAGATATGGCTTGCAGTTCTTTCTGGGAGTGGTTGCAGGCCCACTCTTTCCCCCGGTGGAGGTCTGGGTGAGAATCTTTTTTCCAAAGAGCTGCATCCCATCCCTGAGCACACAGAGCAGGATGGCAGTGTGCAACGCCCCCGTGCCTCGCCACTCTCGTCCTCCTCTGTCTCTGAGGGCGCAGATGGCAGTGCGTGTCGTCTCCGGACCACACCACTCTCATCCCCCTCTATCGCCAGACCCCTGGCAGAGCAGACCCCCGTGGAACGCTGGTTCTTCACTGGTCTCCTCTGTCGGGGCGTGGAGCTTGACCGTGCACGCGCGCAGGGTCGCTATGCCACCCGCACCTGTGCCAGTCTCTCCGCCCTGCTGCCCCTCCGGGGGGACGCCTGTGGCTTGGATGATTCCACTGGATGAGTTCTTGGGGGCTTGGTTAGAGCTCCTCAATCTTTCCCGCTGGGTCGCCTAGGCTATCAGGTTCGGCTATGCAATTCAGTTCGCACGGTCTCCTCCCCACTTCAGGGGAGTCCATTTTACGATGGTCGGTGGCATGCCCCAGTCATGAGGGCGGAGGTTGCCACCCTGCTGGCGAAGGGTGCAATCGAGACTGTCCCTCCAACCGAGATGAGGTCAGGGTTTACAGCCCCTACTTCATTGTCCCCAAGAAGACCGGTGGGTTACGACCGATTCTGGACCTCCGCGTTTTGAACCGCACCCTTCACGGGCTGCCGTTCAAAATGCTCACGGCCAAACGCATTTTCGAATGTGTTCGCCCCAGGATTGGTTTGCAGCGATAGACCTGAAGGACGCCTACTTTCATGTCTCCCTTTTAACTCGACACAGACATGTTTCTTCGGTTTGCTTTCGAGGGGCAGGCATATCAGTATGCGGTTCTCCTATTCGGGCTGGCTCCGTCTCCTTGCGACTTTACGAAGATTGTCGAGGCAGCCCTTGTTCCCCTTCGCGAACAAGGGGTTCGCGTCCTGAACTATCGCGACGACTGGCTATCTAAGCTCACTCTCGAGATCAGGTCTGCGAACACAGAGACCTCGTGCTCCGGCACCTAGCCCGACTGGGCCTTCGGGTCAACTAGGAGAAGAGCAAACTTTGCCCCGTGCAGAGGATCTCTTTTCTCGGTATGGAAATAGATTCGGTCGCCATGTCCGCACAGCTTACGAGCGAGCGAGCATACTCACTGCTGACTTGTCTTTAACAGTTCGAAAGCAAGAGTGTGGTTCCACTGAAACTTTTTTAGAGGCTACTGGGCATATGGCATCCGCAGCCGCGCCAACGCCACTCAGATTGCTTCATATGAGGCCGCTTCAGCTGTGGTTTTGCGATCGAGTCCCGAGGTGGGCATGGCATCGCGGTACGCTCAGAGTTCCAGTAACTCCGACCTGCCATCAGACCTTCACCCCGTGGAGGAACCTCAGCTTCTACGGGCTGGAGTTCCCCTAGAGCGAGTTTCCAGGCATGTTGTCTCCACAGATGCCTCTGCCACGGGTTGGGGCGCCATGTGCAATGGGCATGCAGCCGCGGGCTCCTGGACAGGACCCGCATGTCATGCATGTCAATTGCCTCGAGTTTCTGGCAGTACGCCTTGCCCTGCACAGCTTCCATGCGTTGCTCAGAGGTCAACACGTACTAGTCCGTTCAGACAATACTGCAACAGTAGCGTACATCAACCGTCAGGGTGGTCTACGCTCTCGCCAGATGTTGCAACTCGCACGCCACCTCCTCTTATGGAGTCAGAAGCACCTGAGGTCCCTTCGTGCTATTTACATTCCAGGAGAGTGGAACTTTGCAGCCGACGAGCTGTCTCCGCTCCGCCCAGTCTCTGGCTACGAATGGCTACTCAATCCCCAGTCGGTCCAACTGATATGGGATCAGTTCGGGGACGCACAGATAGATCTGTTTGCCTCCCACAACTCATCCCATTGCGCCCTGTATTACTCTCTGACCGAGGGCACGCTCGGATCAGACGCACTGGCGCACAGCTGGCCGCGGGCCTACGCAAATATGCGCTTCCCCCAGTGAGCCTTCTCGCACGGACTCTGTGCAAGATCAAGGAAGACGAGGAGCAGGTTCTCCGAACTGATACTCCTCGTGACAGCACCTCCTTGGCCAATTCCTCTGAGGAAGGACCTACTTTCTCAGAGACAGGGCACCCTATGGCATCCTCGCCCCAATCTCTGGAGGCTACATGTGTGGCTCCTGGACAGGACGAGGCAAGTTTGACTACCCTGCCACCTGCTGTGGCAGCTACCATCACTTCCGCTAGAGCGTCTTCCACGAGACACGTCTATGCGTTGAAGTGGAACCTCTTTGTCAACTGGTGTTCTTCTCGCCGAGAATCAGTGTCGTGCTTTCCTTCCTGCAAGACAGGTTGGAGCGAAAGCTGTCTCCCTCTACCCTGAAGGTGTATATGGCTGCCATTGCCGCATATCACGAAGCAGTTGAAGGTAAGTCCCTGGGGAAGCACAACCTGATCATCAGGTTTCTGAGAGGAGCGAGGAGACTAAATCCTCCTTGCCCTCCTCTCGTACCCTCTTGGGACCTCTCAGTGGTCTTAAATGCCCTGCAGAGGCCTCCCTTTGAGCCTCTGCAATCAGTTGAGATTAAATTCCTGTCAATGAAGACAGCGCTCCTGGTTGCACTGGCCTCCATCAAGAGGGTAGGGGACCTGCACGCATTCTCCGTTGACGAAGCGTGCCTGGAATTCGGGCCGGCCTACTCTCATGTGTTCCTGAGACCCCGGCCTGGATATGTGCCCAAGGTTCCTACCACTCCCTTCCGGGACCAGGTGGTGAACCTACAAGCACTGCCCCTGGAGGAGGCAGATCCAGCCTTGGCACTGCTCTGTCCAGTATGCGCCCTCTGTGCTTACGTAGACAGAACGCAGTGTTTCAGGATCTCAGACCAGCTCTTTGTCTGTTATGGTGGGAGCCAGAAGGGAAGGGCTCTCTCAAAGCAGAGGTTGTATCACTGGATAGTGGACGCCATTGCTTTGGCTTACCAGCAGCAAGGTCGACCATGCCCCCTTGGTGTGACAGCCCACTCCACCACCTCGCTAGCAGACATCTGCAGAGCTGCAGGCTGGGCGACACCCAACACATTCGCCAGATTCTATAATCTCAGAGTGGAGCCTGTGTCCTCTCTTGTACTCGCTCCCCGGCCAGTACTGCACCCGCTCAGGTGTCTTCGCTTGTTCGACATTCCACTCCATGGACTGGATAAGTGCGATTATTCCTCAGCTGAGCCTTCTATTGAAGTCCTGATTTCCTCCAGCACTGTTGATGCTGGTGCCATGGTTCCTGCCAGTAACCCGCACATGTGTATTTTCCACTGTAAGCCTCTCTGAGCATGTGTCTTCCCTCGGCAAGCCACCTTACCACCCCTGGAGTTAAATTTTCTAGCAACCCTATGGGTTGGTTACTCCAGTGTTCTTCCAAATGAAGTCCCCTTAAGGCATATGTGTATTCTTAAGTCCTCCCTACAGGTAGGCGTACTGCGGCATATTTCCTCTGAGATATGCTCCCCAGTGTACCTTGGTTTTCCTGTGCTAAGTAGGACTCCTCGTCCGTGTTAAGTTTCACGACAGGGGATCAGACTTTCGCAGGGCACTGGAAGACAGCTGTGAAAGTGGCGTGATTACACGGGGGACCCCCATTCTCCGTCATCCGACGTAACTCGGAGTGACTACGAAAGGGAATGTCTCGGTTACGTTTGTAACCCTCGTTCCCTGAGTAGGGAACGGAGACGTTACGTCTCCCTGCCACTTCCGCTGTACCGCTGGGTAGATGCCTGAGTTCAGTCTCGGCTCCTCAGTGAAGACATACTGCGGTTGCATCCGCTTCCTCCTTTTATACTCACAGGGTGAGGTGGGGATACGCTATGCAAATTCCGCAGACCCATGGTATTTCTTTGCCATTGGCTCGTTTTTTAATACTCGAAGAAGATTGGCTTTCTAGGCGAAACCCCCATTCTCCGTCATCCGACATAACGTCTCCGTTCCCTACTCAGGGAATGAGGGTTACATACGTAACTGAGACGTTTTCTCACACAAACTGCTCGTTTCGTGTCTAAGGCCATTAATGTGTACTT